AAAAAAAAAAAAAGATAGAGCAAATGTTAATTTCCCCTGATTGCAGAGACAGTTAACATTGAAAACAGAAAGCATGACTTTTTTTCTGTATGATTATCCTCTACCGAAGCACAAATTGAACAGAGCCATGCATGATTGTAACTCAAAAGGGAACTAAGGAGTTTCTCCTAGTTGCAGTAGGAAGCTGACAGTTGTAGGAGATTTTTGAAAAAAATTTCAAAATCTAGACTTTAATATAAAATCCTCTAATTTTCAAATGTTGGGTTTTTTTTTGGGGGGGGGTCCGGTCGTGGGGCCTGAGCTCTGGGCCTGGGCACTGTCCCTCAGCTCTTCAGCTCAAGGCTAGCGCTCTACCACTTGAGCCATAGCGCCACTTCCAGCTTTTTTCTTTTTGCTTATGTGGTGTGGGGGAATTGAACCCAGGGCCTCATGCATGCAAGGCAAGCACTCTACCACTGAGCCACCTTCCCAGCCCCTAATTTTCAAATGTTGGAACACTGACTTTATTTAATTTTTGTGACACTAAGGATTTAATTCTTTTTTCTTTTTTTTGTCGGTCACAGGGCTGGAACTCTGGGCCTGGGTGCTGTCCCTGAGCTCTTCAGTTCAAGGCTAAGGCTCTACCACTTGAGCCACAGCGCCACTTCTGTTTTTTTTGGGTGGTTTAATGGAGGTAAGAGTCTCATGGACTTTTCCTGCCTGGGCTTGGCTTTGAACCTTGATCCTCAGATCTCAGTCTCCTGAGTAGCTAGGATTACAGGTGTGAGCCACCAGTGAGGTGGCCCTGTGGCTCAAATGGTAGAACTCTTGCCTTGAGCTAAAAAGCTCAAGGACAGCACCCAAGCCCAGAGTTCAAGCCCATGAACAACAACAAAAGTTACTGCAGGCCAAGCAGTATGTATCAGCAGGCTGTGTGTGTTTTTGCAGTGCTCATTCACAAACCTTCGTATGTCAAGACTCGCACTGCTGAAGTATAGTCACTGGTCTGTGTGGATGTTGGATGTCAGGGAAAGCGTAAGAAGCCAGTAATGATAGCTCATACTTGTCATCATAGCCACTGAGGAGAAGAGATTAAGAGGATCACAGTTCAAAGCCAACCTAGACAAAAAGTTCACGAGATCCAATACAGAACTGGGCAAAGTGGCATTTGTTTGAAAAACTAAGAATGCAAAAAAGGAATATGGGCATAGCTCAAGTGGTAGAGATCCTGCTTAGGGGTTTGATCCTGAGTTCAAACTCCAGTATCACACAAGCACACAAAAATCATATGGAGGGCTGGGAAGGTGGCTCAGTGGTAGAGCGCTTGCCTTGTATGCAGTAGGCCCTGGGTTCAATTCCTCAGCACCACATAAGCAGAAAAAAGCCAGAAGTGGCACTGTAGCTCAAGTGGTAGAGCACTAGCCTTGAGCTGAAGAGCTGAGGGACAGCGCCCAGGCCCAGAGTTCAGGCCCCATGACCAACAACAACAACAACAAAAAATCATATGGAAATGGAGGAAACTGGTGTACTGGACCTCTCTCTCTCTACAAGAGGAATGTATGTGGATGGAGGAAATAATACTGTAGGCCTTGGGGGTTTGCTCAAATTCCAATAAACAGGTTGCCTTCTAATATGATTTGCAGTGATTTGTTTTTCTCGAGTGGAGAATGTGAATTTGGAGTTAATATGAGTTGCTTGGGAAGATAAAGCAGAGGCTTAGCCTCCGGCTCCAAGGCTCCCTTTCTTGAAACAGTCTCCTTGAAGTAAATGGAGAACAAACAAGTTAACAGGGTGAAGGCATGAGACTTGGCTGCCATTGCCACGTTTCCCTCGGGACAGGCCCTCCTGCCTCCCCCTCCCCACCGCAGGGCGGCTGGGCTAGTTAGACTGAGAGGAGAGCTTCTTACCACACACTGTGATCTCCTCACTGAAGCAGGTGGAGACCCGGTTGATGTTAGGCAGCTGTGCCAGGTGTTTCCTGGCCTCATACAAAAGATTCAACACATAGCGAGCGTGGAGCTGCTACTGGGAGGAAAAGGAGGGAGGGAGGAAACGATTCTGCTGTTGAGGTCTTCAATCATCCCCAAAGCCACCCCCAGTAAACTGCTCCCAGGGCTCTGCCTACACCTCCTTTTACTTTTTTTGTACCAATTCGAGGGTTTGAATGCAGGACTTGGATGTACTATCCCTGAGTTTCTTTTGCTCAAGGCTAGCATTCTACCTTTTGAGCCATAGCTCTACTTCCAGCTTTTTGGTAGTTTGTTGGAGGTAAGAATCTTACAGACTTTTCTACCCAGGCTGGTGTTGAACTACAATCTTCAGATCTCAGCTTCCTGAGTAACTAGGATTATAGGCATGAGCCACCAGCACCTAGACACACAATGGTTTCTAAAAGCAAGCTAATGGATCACTTTTGTGCTTAAAGTCAAATGTTTTTCCATCTCTTTCAAAATATAAGTCTCCCTTTCTCCCCTCCACTGCTCTTCCCCCAATCTCTGCTTTCTTGCCACAGCAGCCTTCCTGAGGTTCTTGAACAGTCCTGGTGAGTTCTTGCCTCAAGACTTTTCCACTTGCTCTCTCTGCCTAGAACATTCCTAGCTCCCCACAAACAGTAGCTCTTAATATCCTTGGACCTTTGTTCAAAAATCACCTTCCCGGCCATTTAAGAAAGTTGCTGGCTCAGTGGTAGAGTGCTTGCCTTGCATGCATGAGGCCCTGGGTTCGATTCCTCAGCACCATATAAGCAGAAAAAGCCAGAAGTAGTGCTGTGGCACAAGGGGTAGAACGCTAACCTTGAGCTGAAGAGCTGAGAGACAGCACCCAGGCCCAGAGTTCAGGCCCCACAACCAACAAAAATAAATAAATAAATAAAAAAGAAAGAAACTTAGCTTCATTCCATTACCCATCCCACATTTGAAAGAGTCCCACTGTATCCCTCAGGCTGGCCTTTAACTTCAGTCCTGCTCAGTCTCCTAGTGCTGACATTACAAGTATTTACCACTTCCCCAGCCTTAAATTGATTATTTTCTGTAATTTATCATTATTTAATGCACCATACATTGATTTTATTTATTGTTATTGTAAGGTCTGCTCCTGGATGGCCAGCAGACTGCACCCTCCTCTCAGCAAAGTCTCCACCCAGTACCTGCGTTACCTAGGCAACTGGGACACCTGGAAGAGGTCACATCTGCATCCGCTGAGGTCACATCTGAATTTGATGTGGCCACACCTTTCTCCGCCCATACCCTAGATAAGGCCTAGCCCAGGCCCAGACGTGGGCTCTCTGTCTCTCTCTCTCTGTCTCTGTCTCTCTCTCTCTCTCTGTTCTTTTCTTGCTCTCTCTGCTCTTTTCTCTCTCTTTCCTCTCTCTCTCCCAGCTCTCTCTCTTTTGCCAGCCACGTGGAGTGCCAACTTTGCCTGGTCCCAGCAGGTCTACTGAATAAACCTACCCCTTACCTAAATACCAAGTGCGTGGTGCAGTTCTTACTCGGCTACCTCTTTTTAATAACCTAACAGTTATTATTTGTTGTCTGTCTCCCCCACTAGAAAGTCTGCCAAATGGGAGGGTGCCCATTTGTGTTGCTCTTGTTCTCTGCTGATTCCCCATGCCCATCCACTAGCTACCTGCAGGTGAGCAGACAGACAGATATTGCATGATTTTGCCAGGTATACCAGTCATTCACTCCTGTAATCCTAGCTGCTCAGGAGTCTTGAGACCTGATGATTGTGGTTCAAAGCCAGCCCAGGAAGGATCGTCCATGAGACGCTCCTATCCCATTAACCAGAAAAAACCAAAAAGGAGAGCTGTGGCTTAAATGTTAGATCATCCACCTTGAGAGAAAAAAGCTAAGGGAGAATGCCCAGGCTCTGAGTTCAAGCCCCAGTGCACTTCCTGCCCCTCCCCCTCACATGCACACATCATAAAACACAGCTGGAGAGTCCCTCCTCTCCAGTTCCCTGCAAGGCCCAAATACCCTCATTCCAGGACCATTCTCCCTCTCCACGAAGTGAGTAGGTAGGCTCCAGGCTTACAAGATAAACTTACTCGCTTCAGCCTGAATGCTTCCACCAGTGCAGTTGCATGGTCCGGAAGGAGTGGGAAGGAGAGGTGCGGTCCTGCGTAATTGTCTGGCACTTCTATGGCCTTGTAGTCACAGCATTTGTCCATCTCTGAGTCCTGGAGGACTCTCTCCTCTGTGAACATGCGGTTCAGGAAGTCCCCTGGTCCACACAGAGAAGTAGGTCAGCTTTTGGTCCCCAGCCTTACTTGGTATGACAGCCCAAAAATCCAAGCTGTAAGACCCTGAAAGGATTGGGAGTTTGGAAGGCCTTCCCCTGAAACTGCTGAGAGTTTTCTGGGAAAGGTCAATCAGTCCTGGCTGAAGAGGAATTCTGACTGTATCCTGGGTGTGGACTAACTTCACCTTCAACTGTGTGGGAGCCTGGGGGTAGGATTATGCAAGTTTTCAGCAGTCACTGCTCAGCTCGGCTTCCCGGAATAAGGTCATCTACCACCTGTATACAAATACTGTCACTTGATGAAGTTTGTACCTTACTTCCTTGCACAAAACCAATAAAAACCTTGGCCAATGGAAGCTTGGGATTGGTTGCTGGTGGAAGGCTACAGGTCCCCTGGTCCTCTAAACCTCAGTTCCACAGCCCTGTAGGATAAGCATTATGCCCACCTTTGGTCCTCAGCTCCACCCAGACCTGTCAGCCCCTCCCTCCCTCCACCCAGACCCACCTGATCTCCCCTCTACCTCACTTCCTAACCCCCAGACCCTAAGGAGCACTAGAAGGTTGTAACATCTGGGCTGTAGTGGAGTGGGACCTGGACCTTCTGACATCAGCTTCAGCCCAGGAGAGGGAAGGAAGAGGGAAATAAATACAGACAAGACTTGGCAAGAGGAAACTCAAAACTAGCTGGGATCTGTTCCAGCTTGACTTGGAAAGTTTAAGATAGGTCTCTGTTAGTATTATGCCGGACCCCTCCTCTGCAGGATCCCTCCCCCATGGGGCCTCTTCCTCTGGGGGACCCCTCCTCTGCCTTTGTAGTGGGGGTGGAATCTAAAGCTCCACGTGGGACAGAAGTGCTGCACCTTCCCTGTCAACATCTTCAGCTCTCTCTAGCATTGACCATTGGCAGACATGTCATCTTGGCATTGTGGGAGTTCAGCTGCTGTTTCTTACCAAGTCGGATTTCAAGCCAACTCGATTCTGCGACCCTCTCCCCGCCCACCGGATCAGGCCAGGCACCATTATGCCATGCCACACGTCTGTTAGTGTCTGGTCTCTTGTTGACTAAAAGTTTCTTGTTGTTGGCAACGTTTTGTGTTTTAAACTGATCACATGGTTCCATCAGAATTAGGTAAAGTAATACTGTTAAAATTCCAAAAAACTTTTTCAACGGCCGATTTAAAAATCTCAGCATGCACAAACATGTCTGTCTGCCTATTTGTCTATAGGTAAAATATGTAAAAGGTTACGGTTTCAAGGTTACCAAGTATTCTGCTTACCAAAAAAAATATTTTGTCAATAGAAACTGTGATTTAGGGGCTGGGAAGGTGGCTCAGGGGTAGAGCGCTTGCCTTGCATGCCTGAGGCCCTGGGTTCGATTCCTCAGCACCACATAAGCAAAAACAAAAAAGCCGGAAGTGGCGCTGTGGCTCAAGTGGTAGAGCGCTAGCCTTGAGCTGATCAGCTGAGGGACAGCGCCCAGGCCCAGAGTTCAGGCCCCACGACTGGACCCCCACCCTCCAAAAAAAAATTTACTCTAATTTGATTTAACCTAATTTGATTTAAGAATTTTGAGAACTGACTGAGGAACCTAAGCAACTCCATTTTACTTAAGACCCCATCTCAGTTCTGCAACTTAACCCTTGACCTATTCCAGCCACAGATGTCGAGATGTCGAGGTATCTGAAATAGCCTTGCACAGACAATCCTGGGAAGCACAGATGGTGTTTGCTTAAGGCAGGATGTCCAGGTATCTGAAATTCCAGAACAGCCCCTCCTGGGGTCTGGAGACCATTATCTAAACCCGACACTCTGCAGTTTAGCATCTATCCTCTTGAAGATCCCCTCTGGTGCAAGCCAACCAGTTTAAAGTACGTCAGCCCCCTTGATCTAACCAACAACCTGTTTCTGGTCCTTTCCTGCTTTATAGTGCACCAATCATACTAGAGAGTTGTTTTATGATTTTCCCACGGTGTGTAGTGATTTGTTACGAGATGCTATGATGTATGCAAAGTCCCTACCTTCCCTAAAGAGTGTGTAAAAGGTGCTGTAACCCTGGGCTCGGGGCCTCTCAGCGTCATCGGTTGCTGCTATGTCTGTCTGAGGGGATCAAGCTCGAGCTTGCAATAAAGACTCCTTTGCTTTTACATTGGTGACGATCTCTGGTGGTCTTTTGGGTAAGGATTTCCGAATTCGGCTTTACGCTACTACAAGCTAAAGGAAAACAGGCAGGTTTTTGTTTTTTGTTTTGTTCTGTCATGGTGCTTGAACTCTGGACCTGGGTGCTGTCTCTCAGCTCTTCAGCTCAAGGCTAGTGCTCTACCACTTGAGCCACAGTGCCACTTTTGGTTTTCTGGTGGTTTATTGGAGATTAGAGTCTCGGGCTTTCCTGCGGGGTGGCTTTGAACCAAGCTCCTTAGATCTCAGCCTCCTTAATAGCTAGGATTACAGGCGTGAGCCGCTGGCGCCTGGCTAAAACAGGAAGTTTCAATGGGGCTTGAGAACAGAGTTTAAAAAGATGGTTTCAAAAAACTCTGGCAAGTAATTGTTAGTCAATTGTCAACAAGTTGTAGGTAAGCTCTATCTCATTGATCTCCTCATTGCTTTAATTGGAAATAAAAAGGGCTTTTGTGACTAAGACTCCTTTTGCCATAGTTCAAAACCAAGCTGGGCACAAAAAAATCCCTCCAAAACTCCATCTCCCAGCTAATCAGCACAGAGCCAGGCTGGAGGCATGGCTCAAGACTCACATCTAAGTATCCAGCTGAAGGCTGAAAGTGGCATTGTGACTCTTAAGTGGTAGAGCACTAGCCTCAAGCAGAAGTGCTCAGGGACAGTGCCCTTGAGTCCAAACCCTGTAAATGCCAACTGGGACTGAAGAACATAAAAATATATAGACAGCACCTAACAGCCATTTTCGCTTCTGTACCTTTGCTTGCTAAAAACTCTGCTAAAACCTTGAGGAGTGGAGTGAAAGAGGCAGAAAACTGGACTGCCCTCATCAAAGTAGGCAAGCACCCCCTGAATGGATTTATTAAAAGGCATGGAGTAACATTAATGCTTAATGTAGTAGAAAGTAGAAGTTATGATTACTAACTGTTCATTTTTGCTTCTGTACGAATTGTTTTGTGCTAGATGATTTTATGGTTTTTGTATGATTTTAACTGTGACTGGTTTTAGTTACTCAGTAGTGGAATGTCAGCCTGGGAGCCTAGAGTTGGCTGGGAAGGTGGCTCAGTGGTAGAGCGCTTGCCTTGCATGCCTGAGGCCCTGGGTTCGATTCCTCAGCACCATATAAGCAGAAAAAAAAAAAGCTGGAAGTGGCGCTGTGGCTCAAGTGGTAGAGCGCTAGCCTTGAGCTGAAGAGCTGAGGGACAGCACCCAGGCCCAGAGTTCAGGCCCACGACCGGACCCCCCCCCCCAAAAAAAAGAAAAGAAATGTATCAATTGTTTATTTCTGGGACTTCCTACTGCATAGCTTTAGATTGTGGCTTTCGGTGGGGAACTGAAATTGTGGGAAACAGAGGTACAGGGAAGGGAGAATGGCCACCCACACATAGCAGGGCTGGCTCTGCAGATTCTGGGAAGGAGATGTGAACTGGAAGGACCGCAAGCATTTGACATGCTTGAAGGGCAGGAAAAATGTGATGGGGAGTGAGCATTTTGACATTGTGACAATAGACAAGCCAGGTGCCAGTGGCTTATGTCTATAATCCTAACTACTCAAGAGGCTGAGATCTGAGGATCGTGGCTCAAAGCCAGCTCAGGCAGGAAATTCAGTGAGACTCTTTATCTCCAATTAACCACCAAAAAACTGGAAGTGGTGCTGTGGCTCAAGTGGTAGAGCACTAGCCTTGCGCTGAAGAGCCCAGGGACAGCACCCAGGCCCAGAGTTCAAGCCAGATGACCACCAACAACAACCACCAAAGACAAAAGCCAGGAGGTCTGGATGCTAATGTGGAACTGCCCTGCCAAGCTATGCAGCCTCAGGCAAGTCACCTGGTACCTTTATGTCTTCACCTGGGGGGAGGGCTGGACTAGGTGAAGATTGGGAAGAACAAACTAGAAATTCAAGATTTATTCAATATGTCATCCAGTGTCAGTGATAATGAGGCTTTCCCAGCTCTGTGCTTACTATCTCTGATTCTGTGAGACCACTGTGGGTTTATAAATCCCCATTAACACGAGTCCAGCCTTCTTTTGCTTCTAGGTGCTAGCTGACCAAGTAAGCAAGCGTGGAGCGTGCAGGGTGTTGATTCCTCATGTGAGGTTAAGGACCGCTGGTCAAGTATTGGTGGCAGAGAAGGGAATAGCTGTCCTCATAAGTAACTAGAGTATTCTTAAGCCCCTGGGTCTAGACATGATGCTGGTGATGAATGGACTATTTTTGGATAAGCTGGATTAAGAAGGAAATCCTGGGGGGATGGCTCAGTGGTAGGGTGCTTCTCTAGCATGTATAAGGCTCAGGTTTGATACACACACACACACACACACACATACATGCACGCACACATACGTGCACGCGCACGCACACACATACATACATACACACACACGTGTGTGCCCAGAAGGTAATCTATCACTTGAGTCATGCCCCCAGCCATGTTTTGCTGCAGATAGGGTTTCATGCTTGTGTCCAGGGCCAGCCCGGGACAGCAAGGCCTCCCATGTAGGCAGGATGGTGGACATAGGTGACACTGTATCCAGCTTGTTGGTTGATGTAAATCTCATTACTTCTTTACATGGGCTGGTCCCAAGCTTCTGTTATCTCTGTCTCTGCCTCCTAAGTAGCTATGATGGCAGAAATGAGCTTTGAGCAACTGAGATTACCTTTCAAAAGACACCTTTTTTTTCAACCAAAGGTGGTTTGATTCTTTTCCTTTTTTTATTACCTTTAAGTAGTTGTACAAAAAAGTTGCATTTGCCATTCAACAAAGCAGTTGAATACAATGCATCTTGAGACTCTTAATCATTTCCAAAGTTCTAACTGTTCCCTTCTCTTTATCAGGTGACCTGTAGGCTGAGTATCAGACTTGCTCATGTGGCCACGTGATAGATGAAGGGCTAGGATGGATGCCCAGGAGGATGAGGGGGAGGAAGAGTCTATCTCAGAGTTTCAGCTCCCCACAGCCCTACAAATGACAGTGAAAATGGCAACTTTCAGGCAACAGTCATGTCATAGTTCTAAAGCTCTGCTGTGTATGGTGCTTCATGGAAGATTCACAATATCAAAGGATGATGGGGAAATTAATATCTGTATTTCTTCTTTTTCTTTTTTGCCAATCCTGGGGTTTGAACTCAGGGCCTAGATGTTTTTCCTGAGCTTTTGTTCCTCGAGGCTAGCACTCTGCCACGTGAGCTATAGCTCTACTTCTGGCTTTTTTTTTTTTTGGTAGTTTATTTAGATATAAGAGCCTCATGGACTTTTCTTTTTGGTCAATTGTGGGGCTTGAACACAGGGCCTGGGGGCTGACCCTGAGCTCTTCAGCTCAAGGCAAGCAGTCTACCACTTGACCTATAGCGCCACTTCTAGTTTTCTGGTGGTTAATTGGATATAAGAGTCATGGATTTTCCTGCCCAGACTGTCTTTGAGCTGTGATCCTCAGATCTCAGCCTCCTGAGTAGCTAGGATTGCAGGAGTAAGCTACTGGTGCTGGGCCTCTTGGACTTTTAAAGCAGGCTGGAGCCCAGATTTCTGATACGAACACTGACCATCAGGACTTAAACTATGCTCCAGATTTTCTCCTTTGGAAAACTGGCTGTTTCTAGCCAGATTTCAAAAATTCTGTTTGGAATTATTTTCTGGTTTTATTTTTTTGTTTGCTTTGACTCTTAGAACAACCCTTCAAGCTGGGCGCCTGGTGGCTCATGCCTGTAATCCTAGCTACTCAGGAGGCTGAGATCTGAGGATCATGGTTCAAAGCCAGTCCGGGCAGGAAACTCCCTGAGACTCTTATCTCCAATAAACCAGTAGAAAACTGGAAGTGGTGCTGTGGCTCAAGTGGTAGAGCACTTGCCTTGAGCTGAAGAGTTCAGAGACAGCGCCCAAGCCCAGAGTTCAAGCCCCATGACAAAAACAAACAAGCAAAACAAAAAAACAAAAACAAAAAACCTTTCAAGGGTATAAAGGCCTCTTTATGGGGCTGAGGATGGTGGTTCACACCTGTAAGCTCAGCTACTTGAGAGATGGTAGAAAGAACTCAGTACCAGTGCAGCAGAGGTAAAGCAAAAGGTCTGGGTTGTGGCTTAAGTGGTACAGTACTGCCTGGCAAGCCTGGGCCCCTGGTTCAACCCTAGTACTGCCAAGTTAAAAAAATCTCCATCAAGCTGGACGCCGGTGGCTCACGCCTGTAATCCTAGCTAATCAGGAGGCTGAGATCTGAGGATCATGGTTCAAAGCCAGCCCAGGCAGGAAAGACCGTGAGACTCCCTCCTATCACCAATAAACCACTAGAAAACTGGAAGTGGCGCTGTGGCTCAAGTGGTAGAGCGCTCGCCTTGAGCTGAAGAGCTGCAGGACAGCACTCAGGCCCAGAGTTCAAGCTCCATGACCGACAAAAAAAAAAAAAGAAAGAAAAAAATCCCCATCAGTGATATTGTCCAAAAAGAAATGTATTCTTTATCTGACTTAGGGAACTGTAACCCCTCTGTAATTACCTTTATAATAACAATAAAAAATGTCCTCCCCACCTCCCCTGAGACACCCAATCTCAGCAGTCTTACCACAGCGTATGAGTGCCCCTTTATTCCCACGCTCAGGTAATTCTCCAATCGCTTACCTTACTAGCTCCAAACTGCCTCCAAATTTTGGTTCTAATGGCAACTGATACTTAATTGGGAAGCTTACTATGAGCCACACATGGTTCTAAACACTCATTTACTAAACAAATGTGTGAGGGGAGGTATTATTATTTCTGTAGGTGTAAAAGTAAGACAACAATAGAAGGATCTCACCACTGGGAAAAGGTGGAGCCAGCATTTGAACCTAGACCATGTGCTGTATAACACCGGCCATCTGTGCTTCCTACAAAAACCTTCTCAAGGACACTTGCCAAAGGGTCAGCAGTCAGCCTGGCTTCCTTTATCACCCCTCATCTTGTGCTATGGTTTTCTGCCTCTCCCCTAGGAAGTCCTGCCTGTGCCACTGGACCCTGGGGGCCCACAGCTGGTGCATCTGGTGGGAAACACATACCTTTCTCTGCATTCTGAAAAGCAAAATGGTGTTGGGTAGAGGCGCTGCTTCCCATCCTTCTATTCTACAGGACACAGGTGGAATCGTGGGTAGACAAAGTGGGTGGTTCAGCAACAAAAGGGGGATCTGTCACGTCAGAAACAGGCAGAGTGTTAGTTCACATGGAGCTGAATTTCCAATGAATTGCATGAGAATATGCTCTACCTCCTCAGGTCCATGTACAAGGCACTGCTTCTTGGAACTTCTTCGCTTGACATCCCATCCCATACTGTATTCTGTGGGAAATATCCTTTGCAGTATAGACACATACTGGCCATTTTTTGCATTTTCAAAGCAATTCCTTTGATCACCTCTTTCTGCATATGTTCACCTTAGCTACTCTCAAACCATCCTTGCCATCCTCACTGTCAATCAAAACCTGTCAAGCACCGGGCACCAGTGGTTGTAATCCTAGCTACTAAGGAGGCTGAGATCTGAGGATCAAGGTTCAAAGCCAGCCTGGGCAGGAAAGTCTATGAGACTCTTACCAGAAATCCAGAAGTGGCGCTATGACTCAAGTGGTAGAGCGCTTGCCTTGAGCTGAAGAGCTGAGGGACAGCACCCAGTCCCAGAGTTCAAGCCCCACGACCAACAAAAAACAAACAAAAAACCTGTCAAGCTGTTGTCCAGATGTCCCTGGACTCCAGCCCTGTATATTCAGTGAGGTTCTAGAACCTTCACAGAGAGTCTCACACTCCTTGCACCCCACACACAGAATCCACCTTCAAGGCCTCATCTCACTTCTCTTCTTTGTCTGGTTCTTTCACTATCATGACCTTTCGGCCTGCTCTTACCTGGGATGCTTGCTCTTGCTAGCCCCCTGCTCTTCACCTGCTGACCTTACTCTTCCTTTAGACAGTTTGGCCTGCCTCTCCCTGAGCTCTGAAGACCCCTCACATCTCAGTCATGGGATGCTAAATCATTATTTAATATTTTGTCTCTCTCTCATTCACTGTGCATCCTTCAGAGGGGAGTAAGAAAGATTTATCACTGTATCCCCAGGATCTTTCACCCTGACTGACACAGAGTAGGGATCCAGTGGAAATTTATAGAATAAACTTGTGACTATATTTATATTTATACAACCAAGATGTTTCTCCAGCTCTTCTTCAGAGAGCAATACAAGAGGAGAGATATTGACTTAACATTATAAGTTAAGGGGCTGGGAAGGTGGCTCGGTGGTAGAGTGCTTGCCTTGAATGCATGAGGCCCTGGGTTCGATTCCTCAGCACCACATAAGCAAAAAGAAAAAAGCCAGAAGTGGCGCTGTGGCTCAAGTGGTGGAGCACTGTCTTGAGCTGAAGAGCTGACAGATAGTGCCCAGGCCCAGAGTTCAGGCCCCACAACCAGACCCCCCAAAAAAACAAAACATTACAAGTGAAATTCCAATCCAACTATGGTAGTACATGTCTGTAATCCCAAATACTCAGGAGGTAGAGCCAGAAGAATCACCAGTCTGGCAAAGTTACCAACACCCTATCTCAAAAACAAAATAAAGCCAGGCGCCAGTGGCTCATACTTGTAATCTTAGTTTCTAAGAAGGCTGACCTCTGAGCATCAAAGTTCAAAGCCAGCTGAGGTAGGAAAGTATGTGAGACTCTTATCTCCAATATATTACTCAGAAAAAGCTGGAAGTAGAGCTGTAGCTCAAGTGGTAGACAGGTAGCCTCGAGCACAAAGAAGCTTCTGGACAGTGCCTGGGCCCTGAGTTCAAGCCTGGACTGACAAAACAAACAAGCAAGCAAACAAACAAACAAAAGATCTTGGGGAGTACGACTCAGATTGTGGACTCAATTTCCAAAGTACTAGAAAAAAAAAGAGGAAGGAAAGAAGATTATCTCTCAACTTTTTGAAGGTTATGGTATTTGGTTTTGTGAAAAATATTACTTACCCTTTCCTTTGTATATCAGAAGTAAAAAAGACTTGCCTTACTTATACTAGTTCTCTCTCTCTCTCTCTCTGTCTCTCTCTGTCTCTCTCTGTGCAAGGCTGGGATTTGAACTTGGTACCTGATGCTTTCACTCATTGGCTAGTGCTCTGCCAACTAAACCATACCTCCAACCCAGTTCGCTTGTTTTGAATAAATAAATAACCCAGTGTTTCAATGTAGGTGGATATAGTCATTTGCTCGTGTTGTGATTGAGGAAATCCTGTTTTGTTTTCTGCCACTTCATTTGTGTGTGTGTGTGTGTGTGTGTGTGTGTGTGTGTGTGTATGTGCACACACGCACTGGTACTGGTGCTTGAACTCAGGGCTTGGGTGCTGTCCCTTAACTTTTTTTGGTCAAGATTGACATTCTACCCCTTGAGCCACAGCTCTACTTCTGGCTTTTTGGTGATTTATAAGAGATAAGAGTCTTATGATGAACTTTTCTGCCCAGGCTGGCTTTGAACTGGGATCCTTGGATCTCAACATAGAGTAACTACTTCATTTCTTATGATGATGTATCCCAAAGTGATGACAGGAAAAGATGCTTTTTTGACACTCCTCCCCCCAATAAAAAGTTGTTGACACCCTAAAGTGAGAATGTGATATCTGACATGAACCATAAAACTTTTGTCTTTTATCATACAAAAAGCAATAAATGATAGTTTTCCAAAAGGTTTATATGAAGAAAAAATTAGAGATAGCTATCACCAAATAGGTTTACATATGGCTGTTTAAGAGAAGATAATGAGGGCTGGGAAGGTGGCTCAGTGGTAGAGCGCTTGCCTTGCATGCCTGAGGCCCTGGGTTTGATTCCTTAGCACCACATAGCAAAAAGAAAAAAAAAACCGAAGGTGGCGCTGTGGCTCAAGTGGTAGAGCACTATCCTTGAGCTGAAGAGCTGAGGGACAGCGCCCAGGCCCAGAGTTCAGGCCCCACAACCAGACCCAAAACAAAAAAAAAAAAAAAAAAAAAAGAGAAGATAATGAAGTAAAGTGAAGTCACCCACAGACTAGCAGAGAATGTATCAGAAGTCACTAGAAATGTGAATGGAAAGGGATAATAAAATAGTTATTTAACACAAAAACCTTAAAACCAGGTATCAGTGGCTCAATCTTAGTCACCCAGGAAGCTGAGATCTGAGGATCAAAGCTCAAAGCCAGCAGAAAAATCTTTGAGACTTACTTCTAGCCAACCCGCAAAAAACTCAAGGGGTAGAATATCAGCTTTGAGTAAAAAAGCTAAGGGATAGTCCCCCAGCCCAGTTCAAGTCCCAGTACAAGCATACATACACACAAAGAGAAAACTTTTTCAAAAGTAAAAAGTGCATGACATGGACAATGGGCAAACTCTTGTCTTTTGTAACACCTGCCCAGCTGCAAGTCCAGGGGTGACTCTCCCCCTGAACCTTCTTCTCTGGTGACCAGCTCTCCTGCACCACATTAGAGGAATTTGACTAGAACCATCTATACTTCCAGATATGATCATATTTTTCCCTTGGTACTGAGAATTGAAGCTGGGGCCTTGCTTTTGCTAGGCAAGTGCTATACTATTTGAGTCACACCTCAAACCTCTCTATTGTTTTATTTATTTAATTAATTTTTTGTTGGTTGTGGTGCTCGAACTCAGGGCCTGGTCCCTGCGCTCTTTAGCTCAAGGCTAATTCTCTATCACTTTGAGCCACAGGGTCACTTCTGGTTTTCTGGTGATCAATTGGAGATAAGAAGAGTCTCAATGACTTTTGTGCCCAGACTGGCCTTGAACCATGATCCTTAGAACTCAGCCTCCTGAGTAACAAGGATTACAGGCATGAGCCACTGGTTCCCAGCTATTTAATTTTTCAAGTCAGGGGCTCTCTAGGTAGGACTCTGTTCCTGATCCTTCTTCTTCCAACTCCCATGTAACTGGATTACAAGTAGGTCCACTACACTTGGCTTGTTTTTCAAAAGGTCTCATCGTTTTGTTAGGGCTGGTCTCGAACTGTAACCCTCTGATCTCTGCCTCCCACAGAGCTGGTTTTACAGGGGCAGCGTTACCACTTCTTTCTAAGAAGGCAGGTAAATCATTTCTCGTTCTTCTGAGTGAGTCCAATAAATAGACAAGGATCGATTACTCAGATTTTATGACTGAAACACACCCCACAAAGACCCTCTCTTAGTGGATGAGGTACCGCAAGACTTCTGTCCCAAACCAAATCTGTCTGAATTTCCTGGAGGAGGGGGCAGGAATACTCTTTTAGTCTCACCAAGTTCTGAACTCCAGGCTCAGAAAGTTCACTTACCTTGTGGGGGTTATTTTTCACTATGAGACACACGGAGGCAGTAACCTGTCTTCAGAGCTGACTGTGGGGGTCCCTGCTGCTCAGATTTCTTCCAGCCCACCAGACCAAAACAGTGGAAGGGAGAGACTGCAGAGTGTGGGTGTCACTGCGCCCCAGGTCCTGCTCCGGAAGTGTCTCTCTTCCTCTGTCTCCACCCTTCCCAGTTCCAAATCTTCTTAGCCTTGGGGTTTAGGAGATGTGTTGTCTAAGCCGAGTCTGAGAAGCTTTAGCCCCTTAACCCAGAAATGGAAGAGTGCTGACAAGACACAGACCGAGCTCCAGAGAGCAGCCTTCACCACCCCAGCCACACTCAGGGCCTGGGCTTTAGGCCTGGGCCATTCTTCCTGTGGCTGGCTTTTTTTTTTTTTTTTTGACTGCAACATCTGACGGAAATAGCCTCCCTTTCTTTCCAACTGTCACTTTCCCCTTAGGATGTAGCTGAAATTGTTGATTTATATTCCCAGAGAATTGAACTTCTCCATTAATCTAAGTGCTATGTGATGCTCAGTGAGTTAAATGTTCTATGTGAGGCTGGGCACCAGCGGCTCACACCTGTAATCCTAGCTACTCAGGAGGCTGAGATCTGAGGATCGCAGTTCAAAGTCAGCCCAGGCAGGAAAGTCCATGAGACTCCTATCTCCAATAAACGACACAGAAAACCAGAAGTGGAGCTGTGGCTCAAAGTGGTAGAGCACTAGCCTTGAGCAAAAGAGCTCAAGGATAGCACCCAGG